ATTTCATTCAGTACTAAATCATACAGAGGGTTAAAATGGTAATTTGTTGTCATTCAGAGAACATTTACCAAACAACCATATTACATTCAGCACTTAACCATTCTGACCCTCTTAGCTATTCTGACCTCTTAACTATTCTGCACTAAATCATTCAGCAACTACCAAACAGCCCCTAACACATCATTGATTTCAAGAGACTTTTTTGGTTTTTTCATCGTTTCAAGGGATTTTTTGATTTTTTTTTAATACCCTGAAACACCCTACAAAGTTTGGACTTAGGAGTATGCAACTTTTGTACTTGCAAAAACCAGTTGAACGAGTATACGAAACCTCACTCAACTCGATGGATCATAATTTGAATTATGGATTGCAATGATCCGTTTATAATTTTTCGGATAAGTTTTTTAGACCAATTTGAAAATACAAAATACGCTTATTTTAAATTGTTGAGTCTTGTAATATTTACAGATTCATACATAATTTCTCGATGAATCGATTCCAAAGCAATGGATACAAAAACAAGAAAGCAGTCGCTAGAAAAATCGATTCCATGATGGTAAACTAATTGCCTTGATGGATTTATTCTGTAACAAGTTGTCTCACATGGATAGAAGATGAGAATTGTTAGCTCCTTATAAATCTTAAATAATGAGCTACCAATAACTTTAACTATGATTTTAAGTTGGATTCGAAGTTATTGATCCATTACTCGGTTTGAATTTGAACATAATCATCTTTTATATCCTTGGCAGCATTTCTCTTCACAATGCTTTATCTCTCATACACAACAGTTTAATGATAATGCAAAGCTGTCTCTCCTTCAATATCTTTTTATTGTTATTAGGGATGTTCAAAAACCCGACCAATCCGACGTGAAATAATTCAACCCGATGTCTAATCGAGTTGTAAAAATTTCAAACTGTAGGTATTGGATTATTATTATTTGAACTCAACTCAACCTAATGAACCTGATATCCTTTTATTTCTTGGATTTAACATGATTGTTGAATTTATATTAATATATACATTAGACAATTATACTATCACATGTTATACACATTTTTAATTTATTCATATACATGTTTAGTAACCGTGAACATATATATGTAAATTGAGAAAATTAACTAAATGTGATATATGTAAGAAGTATGGATAAGTTGTATCAAATAGTTGATGATAAAAAAATTATGAGTAAAGAAACAATATATTCAATGTTAGAAGAATATTTTAATGTATCAACCCGATCAACCCGTACAATTTGGGTTGGGTGGGGTTGCACTTTGGTTTGGGTTGGATTGAGTTAAGATTTTTCAAACCGCAAGCATTGGGTTGTGTTGTTCAAATGTCTTTAACCCGATCAACCCAACTCTAAATTATACACTACCATGGCATGCCACATGCTTAACTTGGCATTGAAGACGAGTGTGGTGCCATGACGCATACGGCCTAAAAGAACTTATAGCTGCTATTAGGGGTGTTAACAAGCCAAGTTAAGTCGAGTTTGACTAGAATAACTTTTCCACGGTAGGGCTCATGTTCGAGCTCAAAAAATATCAATGTTCAAACTTTTCATTGATACTCGTTTACAGCTCGAACTCGAGATCGACTAGCTCGGTTTTCGGATCGACCTCAATAACTTTTATACTATTATTATATGATCGAGTCGAACATTGGTGTTATAGAACTCAACTTGTTTAGTTAAATGAGTTTTCGTGTGTATTCGAGATTGACTGGATCTCGACAATTATTAAGCTCGAGATAAACGACTCGAGCTCAAGTAGCTTATTAATAGCTCGACTCGTTATAACCACAAGCTACTATGAGATATTTTTACAAGAATCTAAACCCGAAGAACTCACAAACATAGTTCAGTTATGTGAGACTAATCAAGAACTTATAAAGAGAATAATAACTAAATAAAAGAATAAGAAAAAGATCGAAGCACACATGTGATTTTACACTAAAATCACATGTAAAATTGGGCATGGCAACAGGGTGGGGATGGGGCGGGTTTTGTAATCCCCGGCCCCGGTCCCCAACGGGTACGGGATTAACATCTTGTCCTCCGTTTATTTTCTGATCAAACCCCAATCCCCGTCCCTGGTCAAGACCTAATTTTGAAAAATAAATAATATGTATATATATATATATTAATAAAATCATATACCGGGTACAGGATGGGACGGGGGATATGCTACCTGGCCCAGCCCCAACCCCCGTTTGAGTCTACCGAGGATCCCCGGGCCCGAGACCCGTTTTAGCGGGGAATCCCTGTCCCCGTTCGGGTCGGGTGAGTCAAGTTCCCCGCCGGGTCGGGGCAAATCACCATCCTTATGTAAAATCACAGGTGATACACGCGACTATGGTGACGACCCAACATCRCGGGCCACATCGCCCTCACACGTCTGAATTGACCATTGTTACAAAATCGCATGTGATTTTGTACATGATTTCTCTGTTTTCATATTCTCTTATTTAATTATTGTTCTCGTTTGAAACTCCATCTATATATATACACACTAATTACGAACATAGAAAAATCTGAGATAGCAAACAAAGAATATTCACATGTGAATTCCTCTCAATTCTTGCAAAATAAAATATCATTCCTTTGGCCAATTTCCTTTATTTTATGGATCTCATCTTCAATTTCTCGTGTATAAAATAGGACCCATATAACGTTAAACAACCTAAATAAATAGTAATTATGGTTTGAAACAAAACCTGCTATCGACATATGTTTCGCTCTTTTTGGATCATCATTGTCGTCGTCATCGTCATCGTCATCAAACGATATTGTTGCCGTTAACCTTCAACGTTCTCTTGAGGTGCTTCCCCTGATGGAAAAATCTTGTCTGTTGCCGCCTGCGATTACATCTTTGAATCGGGATATGGGACCCGCCAGCATCTTCATCCTCTGTGAACAATAGTAGACACTTAGGGTTGTTTACTTATAGTTTAATGAGCTTAACGGTCTGRATAAATTAATCGTTCAGCCATACAGSAGTTTTTCTTTATGGCTTAATCGTTAAGCCATTAAGCCAAAATGGCTATTTGGAATAARCCAGGACCCCTCACKTGTCCCTATTAAGCCAACTCAAACAAATTATAGCCAGAAATGCATCAAAAATGATCCAACCCTCTCTCCCTCAAACCCATCGGTCTCTTGCCCCTTAATCAGACATACTTATCCAGACAAACAACTTAAACCATACAGAACTTAATGGAAAAAAAAGGTAAACAGCCCCCAAGGTATTTTGTCCAATATGGAATATAATATCCCCTACACGCTTCGGAATAATTTGAACCCAGTAAATCCAAGGTAGAGGTATGATATGGGGAGTAGGATATGGGTAAAAAGACGATATATCAGGGTYTGGGGGTAGGATGTACGTAAATTGTATCTAACCCAAGGGGTAGGAAGACCGRAATATCCCACACATATATAGGGCTTGGGAGGTAGGATGTACGCAAACTTCTCTACCCTGACTGTTTCCATTAACACAACTGGCTTGCAAAGCAAAAATTAACATAAAACAAGTGGCCAAGCAAGCTATACGTGAAAGCATGTGCATGYAGACAACGAGTATAAAGTGAATGTGGGAATTGTACAGGCTAAATCATGAAACACCATTCTAGAAGACGGAAACTGTTCCAACTTCCAACTTCTAATCGACATTCTAATCGAAACAACCACATCTTGGTGCAACACAGTTAATTCCTGAGTGTATCAAAAATTGTAATTGCAACAAAGGAAAACGCATTAGGTAGACGCATGGTTTTCGTACATTTTATTGGAATCCCACATCTATTAGAATTGGACCCTTTATCCTCTATATATGTTGGAACCTCCCTTCTCCTAAAGGATTCTTTCTTTGGTGAGGTTTGAACCCTTGACGTTCAGAGAGACTAGGCTCTACAGRTAACCTAGGGCCAATGACCTTTTGTTATGTTAAGGGATCTTTGGGGAAGTAATTTAATGAGATTCTATATGATCTCAAACGGTATAAGAGCCAAGGCCACTCTAGGGACTCGATACTCTGGGATAATTTGTACTCACCTTGCCCCCTCTCGACAAATTGAGACAGGTTGTGTCCATCTAGCCTCTGTTGAAGGGGGGTGTTGGAGTCCCACATCGGCTAGACTTGGACCTTTTTCTCCTCGATATATGTTGGAACCTCCTCTCTCCTTGAGTATCGTGAGAAGGTAAGGAACAAATGTTAAAGGAAGGTCCATATGTAAATTATTGAAAAAATTTGAAGAAAAAAATCTAATTGAAGATGCATATGTGAACCAGCGCTAMAGATTATACATATGGGTTCACATATGTATCTTCAAATGGATTTTCACATATAAACTTCCCCTTAACCTCACATTCTTACCTTCTCACGATACTTTACCTTCTTATTTAAATCYCCCACTATGATCAAATACGACATCAGGTACATAATTATGAAACTCATGCAAACATGTACCTCGTCATGAATCCTGGATTTCCATTCATGACACAGAACTTGCCATCGTTCTTGCCGGCCAATAACTAGAATTCCCATCACTGCAGCAGCGGCAAAAATGGACCAAAATGTATTCCCCTCCTTCGCATGTACATACAAAGAAGCAGCCTGTTTCTTCCACCAAGCAGCAGAAGGCATGCCAGACCCACCATGGCCGTCTTCTTTACTATTTTTAGGAAGATTCGGAATGCTCGAAACCAAGGCTGGATCAGAAGATTGCACAGACTCATCTAACAAGCTCGTGTCATCATCTAGGTTTAACGTACCCATATTTGCTTCATTGTGTAATGAAGCAAGCTTCGGAGAGCAGTAAATACTCTGCTCTTTCCCTCCCAGATTTAACGTGGCGTTTTCGGTKATGTCAGCATCGCTAAACGCTAATACGCTACTTTTCTCATTGGAAAACGGGGTTACATGAAAACCATCCAAAGCGGTCAACTTGCTAAGATTCCAGTTATCTTCTTCATTAGCATCAGATTTTGCATCTTTAACAGATTCAGAACCATCATCTTTTCGTACCTGCTCACCACGGATCTCTGTGTTATCAGGTTCCAGTGGAGGGTTCTCGTGGTGGGTAGGTGGCAAAACAAAGTGACCAGACATGAACAAATTGTTCGAAGTTTCAACTTGATCTGTGTCAACTACGTCACCATTTTCTCCAAGTTTAACCTCGGACATATCCCYATTTGGAGCAGCAGCATAAGCTGATGCGGTAAGTGAAACCACTTCCCAGTCTGCCCCTCGAGGGGCACTTGCCTGTCCTTCCTCTTTATYGGCCATCTACGAGAAAAAGTATTTTCATGAATTTGGGCATTACAAGATTCCGAATTAGTGTAGGAAAGAAGCAATCAAATGAATATTTAATCATGTCAGTTCTGTATAAACATCATTTAATAAATAAAAGATCATAAAGCMAAATTGAAAACAGTGTATGATGTGATCATTTTACCTCTAAGAACTCCATAAGTTTTAGGGAAGTTACTTTCAAACAAGTAAATCCAACAAAATATAAGSAAGATAGACAAGATMTTTTTATATTCAAGAGAAAAGCATCAATCCATCTTTTAATATTTTAATTGACTGGATGATTTTCTTATGCTGATTTGAAGAAGAATTTGTCTGCCTTTGTGCGTATTATGCAAGAAAACTGTTTGTTCTTTATTGATAATCGAGGCAAGATTGTTAACCAAGTTCACTGGTTCCTAAACCTTTCAAGCACTTTTCTTCAGGGGGTGGAGGCTTGTATAAGGGAACAGGGGTGGAGGCCTGTATAAAGGCCGGCATTCATTGGGACTACATACTCAAATTCTCTTCTAGACTTTCTCAAGTAATACCATTGCATTCTCCCACTCTCTTTTTTTTTTTTTAGTTGCCTTTTTCCATCCAAGTCTAAAGTTAGGCTGACTCGATATAATTACTAAGTGCCGTTTACCCAAATGCTTATMTGCTAAGAGTCAACCCTCTTGCTTACCAGATAAGATTAGAGCCCATTAAAACAGTAATGTGTGCAAGAATTTAACGGGTAAGCACTAACCGGGTAAGAGTCATCGCCCTCACTTGCTGGGTAAGACTCTCCATCCTTATAATTGCTCTTACCAAGCAAGATTTTCGGCCCTTGCCATGTTCAATCGCTAAGGTAAATAACCGGGTAAGCATTTAATGGTAAGCATTTAGTCAACGGCCAGTAAGTGTGACACACAATCTTGTAGGGATAAGTCCATGACAATTATATACTTCTATAACAATAAGTATACTCRCTACYTGCTACCTCTCAAAAATAAGCACCACTATTGTTAGGCAAACATTCACCATTAGGTGATTTAGGTCAACAACACAGATAAATCACCAAACCTAAGCACAAATATAAACCCCAATCTTGTTGCTATCGATTATCGTTATAAATCACGCCAAASTGTGTTTTCTTCTACTGTCAACTTGATTAACAATCTCCCCTCGATTATCAATAAAAAAACAAACAAACAATTTTCTAGCATAACAAGCACAAAGGAAGACAAAAATCATCCAATAACACATATAAGGCAAACCAATTCTTCTTCAAATCAGCAAACGAAAACTCATCCAGTCAATTAAAATATAAAAAAAAACAGCAAAATGAACAAATTCCAAAATCACACGCAACACTTCCTGTRATCAAAATTTTACAAACAGCTAAAAACAACAGATCAATAGCACCATAACACCAACAAATCAGACATGTTTGAAACGATACGATCACGGATAAGATTACAAAATCAAAAAAATCCAAAATAAAATCAGTAATCGATTAAAATATGCGTTATGAACTAAATCATGATCGGATCATCGTATAATTCGTTTAACTTACAGTATAGATAGAGAGAAGATTCTTAGTAGAGACRCCGGAAAACGGTGACGTAGCAACTCCAGTTAACCGGCGATGTGAGTAGTGGAGTGTTCTTGGGAAACGGATTGCGATCAGGGGTATAAATAGTAGTAGGATGAGTACGGGATAAACAGAAACCGGTTAACCGGGTATAGCCGRTGATTGGTAAGAGATTTGTAGTTGGTTAACCGGAGATAGGAGGTTAATTATGTATCTGTTGTGTACACAAGGAGGGAAAGTATATCTTGTTTCGGTATTGGCGCGTTACTTTTGACTTTTTGGTCTTTTAAAGAGTACAAGTTTTAGATGCGTAAAGGTATAAGTCTCGCTTCTTTATCAGTGGCGGATCCAAAAACTATTATAGTTCAGGGTATACTTAGAAGTAGGGGTGCTCAAAAATCCGATCAACCCAACCCAACGTGAACTAACTCAACCTGCAGCAACCAGATGTCTAATCGAGTTGTAAAATTTTCAAACCGCATGTATTAGATTGATATTGGGTTATTATTATTTGAACTCAACMCAACCCGATGAACCTGATATCCTTTTATTTCTTAGATTCAATATGATTGTTGAATTTCTATTAATATATATGTTAGACAGTTACACTATCACGTACGTTCTTCATATACACATATTTTCAATTTATTCACATCTCTATGTAACTCGTTCGTATATATGTTAGTAATTGTGAACATATATATGTAAATTGAGAAAATTAACTGAATGTGATATATGTAAGAAGTATGGATAAGTTGTATCAAATGGTTGATGATGAAAAATAAATTATGAGTGRGGAAAAACATATTCAAGGTTCGAAAAATATTTTAATATACCAAAGTATCAACCCAACTAACCCGACCAACCTGTGCAGTTTGGGTTGGGTTGCACTTTGGTTTGGGTTGGGTTTGATTGAGAATTTTCAAACTGCGAACATTGGATTGGATTGCTTAAATGTATTCRACTCGATCAACCCAACCTATAAGCACCCCTACTTAGGAGTGTCGAAACTTTTTGAAACCGAACATTCGTCCAACCCAAAAAAGGTTTCTGGTTTTCATTTTCGACTTAAACGGTTCTATTAACCGAATAAAGATAACTTATTCGTTTCGATTTTCAGTTAATCTTTTTACTRGTTTTGGTTAAACAGACACGTTATACTGTTATTTATATATGTTTTATACAGTTTACACTTAAAACAAATAAATACATTGCTCGTTAAATCATTAAAGCATTAGGTTTGAGTTGAGTTCTAATGAGAAAGTAGGTTGGTGCTAAGTTTAGTTGTTGTTTGTTGAGTACTAGAGAGTGTGAAACTGAACCAAATAAAAGTAAGACTTTTATCATAGTTGGGGGGTCCCAATTAGGGGTGTAAATGATGTGAGTCGAACTTGAGTATGCTATACTCGACTCGAACTCAACACAATTTCTAAGCTCGAACTCGACTCGAAAACTCACGAGTAGTAAAAATCGTGAACCCGATAACTATTTTTCAAGCTCAAACTCGAGCTCGAATCAAGCTTGAACTTGAGCTCGAAACAAACTCATCCATTGAAATTTATGAAATTTTAAAATTTAAAGGCGTTTACTTAGGTGGCGTTTGTTTTTCAAGAGGTGCTGAAGTCTGAAGTCTGAATTCACTTCTGATTTTTAAGAGGTGGTGCTGAAGTCTGAAATCTGAATCAATCAGACTATTTGTTTTTTGCGTCTGAAATCTGAAGTTTGAAGATGAGAGATCGAGAGTTGATATGGATCAACAGTTGACAGGGTTGAGAGATGAGAGATCGAGATAAGAGTTGATCAAGAGAAATCGAGCGTAAAGAGATCAAAGTAGGTAGGCGACGATTTGAAATAAGAGATAATAAGAGGTTTTTCAACCACTTAAATTTTCAGACCTAATAAGAGCTTTTAAGCTCTTAATTGAAAAAAAAACAAACACACTGGATCCTCTTATGTCTGATCGATTCAGACTTAAGAGGACATTAAGAGCTTTTTTATTAAAAACAAACAGCCCCTTAGTGTTTATAAAACTATAAGGGACCAATTCCAAATTTTATAATAAAAAAGACAAAGTTAGAAATTTGATTTATCTCCCTCTTTTTTACAACATCTTTTATCTCTTCATTTACCATCTTTTTTTCAATATGGGACAATTTCACTAACTCTTTTTATAGTTTTTCTCTGTAATTTTTTAATTATGATTTTAATAAAAAAATTGATTAATTTTTACAATAAAAAAATGCATAATTTTGTTTAAATATATAAAAAATACAAGACATTCTTATTATTTATATTTTACAGATTTTATCATACAAATTGATTATATTTTGAAACTAATTATATATAAAATAATTGAGTATCTCACGAGCTTTTCGAGTCGAGTATTGGGTAGCTTGACTCTGTTCGTTAATATGTCGAGTCGAGTGTTGACCGAGTTGATCTCGAGTAACTTGCAAGTTGTCTCGTATCGTTTATACACCTAATAGATAGTTTGTTTTATGGACCGAATTCAAAAATTGAGCAAGCCACACGGACTATCAATGTAATTCACTCTTGAAAAACAATATATTTAAAATAAGATGTATTTGATTATGTTTATCAATTCGTTATATGAATTCATATAATGAACTTTAAAAGGTTGTATTTATCTATCATTTACTTGTAATCTTGAATTTTAAGTAACATGTATAAATAAATAGTACTTGATGTACAAAAGTGGTTTTTAAGACTTTATATCAAAAACTTTGATTTAAGATATGAATTAACATATACTTGTTTTACACTGTAAACGTTTTTTGCCTGTTTATGAAGCAAAAAGTACACGTAAAAGGGTTTTACATTGTCGAACAGTTACATATGAAACAAACACATTGTGAAACAAATATATGTTAATGAATACATTAAATATTTGTCTTAGATGGAAAAAAATGTGAAATAGGGATGTAAAGAAAAACCCGAAACCAATGGTGAAAACCGAAACTTTTTGGTCGGGTTCGAGGACATCTTATCGGGGATGGCACGGGAATTACAGACATATTCGGGGATCTTAATGGGGACGGGGGCAAGGACGATGATCACCGGGCCGGTCCAGCCTGATATGTATGTGTGTGTGTGTATATATATATATTAATTTATATACATACACATACGTATATATATATACAATATCATTAAAAGAAAATAATATCATACTAACATTACAATTTAGAAGACTTTTTTCCACTTTACCATGACACGTCAAATAAGGCTCACGGAAAAATCTAGTTTATTTGTCTAAATCGTGAATTTGATGTTAGTTGTATTATGTTTGAATTTATGATTACTTTTATATTGTAAACTAAGGGGTCGTTTACCTAAACACTTACCCGGTAAGCACTTACTAATAGAATTTAACACTATCACTTGTTTATTGGGTAAGATTTTGTTCACCAAAACGCATCGTATGCAACAATTTATCCCGGTAAGCGCTAACCATGGTAAGAGTTATCGCCCTCACTTACCGGGTAAGACTCTTGATTATTGTCTTCGCTCTTACCGGGTAAGATTCTTAGTCATTGTCATATTCATTCGATACAGTAATGTGACTTGATAAATGTTTACCCGGATAGGCGTTTGGTAAACGACACCTAAGACATCTTTTTTAATTTGTTTGATTATGTCTAAGACATCTAGGTGGCGTTTGTTTCTTTAAGAGGTGTTGGATTCTGAATTCACTTCTGGTTTTTAAGAGGTGGTGCTGAAGTCTAAAATCTAAATCAATCAGACTGTTTGTTTTTATGTCTGAAGTCTGAATCAGTCATATTGGTTATGGGAATGTTATGTTTCAACATGGATTTGTATTTCTTTCTTTCAAGGTTTTAGTCAAATAAAAAAAATTCAGAGTTTTCCTTATGGTGGGTGGGGTTAAAATCAGTTGTATTATGAAATCTGAATCTAATCTGTCAATTACACTTTTACCATGAGATTCATTGTAACATCCCAAAATTTTGAATATTTCAATATATCATAATGAGTATCCCAAGATCAAACACTTACATTACAGCGGAAATAAAATTTCTAATCTTACAAATTGTATCACCATCTAAATTACAATMTTGAGGAGCATAACTTTGCTCTATATAACAATGCATTGATCTGCACATATCCTTCTTTGAARTTAATCCTTATTTCTCTTTATTGCACTTTTCTTTCCACTCATAAGCCGTATGGGTAAAAAAATTTAAAAGAGTTTTGGTTGAGCCTTAGGCCCAATGAATCCACGGTTTTCATGCATGAACAACAACTTTTAAAATAAACAATTTTCACGAAGCTTCATAAATTTAGCATGCCTTGATGAGAATAATATTTTTCACAAGATAAATATATTATAGTGTGTGTTTACATCACAAAGCAACCGCGTCATGGGAGATGTCTACCTCACACAGCATTACCTAGCGAACTCACACAGCATGTCCGCACTTACGGCTTAGACAAGCTCACAAAGCATGCTCGTCTTTACAAAATCATATTGTAGTACATCCCCATTGACATACAAATACTCAAAACACATATTTTAAAAATATCGAACTTTTCACGCATATATAACATATAAAAAATAAGGCATGCAACTATTTTAAAAATAAATCACGTGTAACTCACCATACAGGTCATAACTCTAAACCGTTCCTCAAAGTTCCTCATGTTCTCCCAACAAAAAACGCATCAAACTTGTTGCGCTTCACCAAATCATTCTCATCTTTCACCTCTCTTATACGAGTTTCCTTCCCCGAGAATTTTTCATCTCTATGCTTGAAGACCTCCCCATATATATACTTAGTCATCGGCGGTTTCACGGAATATGAAACAATAAGCCATAATTAATGGTCGTAGGTTTCATAACCATTGAGTTTCCTATCATTAATATTATATTCAATTTTTTTGGTTATTACATTCATAGAAGAGGAGATTGGGGTATCAGCAGGAGATGGTGATCTTTTTCGCCACCTTCACATTTTGATTATGTATTGTGTTGGTCATGAGGTGAATCGTGGATCATTGCAAGATGGGCCACCGGCGAGAAAAAGTTGATTTAAGAGGTATTAAGTGATAGGTTTATCACTTAAAAATTTAGAGGAAGGAAACATCATTTAACTCTTATTTTGAAAAAAAAAAAAAACAAACGGTCTGAAAATGAAAATGTTTAAACGATCCAGACTTAAGAGGTGATTAAGAGGAAATTTAAAAAAAACAAACAAGACCCTTATTCAATATAACTCGTAGAATATTATTTTTCTCTCATAAACATTTAGGAGACGTTTGGTTCACATAATGAAATTTGATGGAATTGAAATTAATCAAAGGAATTTGACTTTAAAGGAATTGTAATAAAATTTGATGGAGATAAATGTAAATCTATACTATATTATAAAACATTTGACCCAATATCTTAAAAACTTTTTTTTTTATGAATGAAGTTTTGTTTATTGATGTATATTACTTAAAATTCAAGACTATAAATAAAACTGTGTGTAAGTACAACTTATTAAAGCTTCATGTATGAATCCGTATAACTAACTTCAGATAAACATAATCAAATTGAGGATAAATATTTTATTTCAAATATAAAAAAACTAAAATATAATTAGGATAATCATTTATTCTAACAAAATACTTAATTATTATTTTTATAAAAAGTTATATTACTAAGCCAACAATAAAAAAAATGAATTAAAGAAATACAAAAAAATGAGAAATTTTAAATAGTTAGTCTGGTACTAATATCAGTATTTTTTAATTTTTTATGATGTATTCATGTTTATATTTTATTAAAAAATAAAAACATTATTGTTTTCTCAAAACACATAAAATCATATTATAACATCGACTAAAAAAAATAAACATTAAAATCGAGATATATCTCGCTGTATTGTGCGAATACCCTTCTAGTTTTAGAAAAAGAAATAATATTTTAATAGATAAATAAAATATTTTAATATTATAATCAACAATGAATTCTTTTTTTATTAACGATTAACCTGGATATCCAACCTGTTATGACTAATTCCAGGACGACCACTTATTTTGCAGATAGCCTGGAATTGCCGTATTTGATCCTCCATGGCCACAAAGGGGATTTTTATTCCTCCTTGGATTTGAACCTGGACCTCCTGACACTTTTGACTTTTGGAGCCAAACTCAAACCAATCAGGCACCACCCTGATAGTTTCAACACTGAATTCTTTAAAATAAAAAATCTGTTGGAGATGAATGTAATTTTTTTATTTAAAAAAATTAAAAATTTGTTACATTTGATTTTTTTTGTTGTTTCTCTTTAAAGTCCGTAAAAAACCACACCAGTAAACAATGGAAAAACATCGACCAAACAACATGAAAAATGAGTGTGTGCGCTTCTTGTGGAGATAATAAATAAGACGAAATTGGAGGCTTTCGATTGAAATCACTTGGACTGCAACGAACTCCAGTGGTTTGTTCCCTACCAATATCATCAGAAAAGAGGGAGAAAATGGGGGATCTCTATGCTTTGGACTTCGATGGAGTTCTCTGTGATAGCTGCGGAGAGAGCTCCATTTCCGCTGTTAAGGTATCTCTTCCAAATCTTCACACACACACACACACACACACACACACTCTTCTTCTGTAATTGGAGCTTTTGTGCGTGGAATGGATGTATGTGTGTGTATATATAGACACACACACACACACACTTCTGGTGCTTATGTAAATCAGTGGAAATCGAAGATTGAGAATCGTGTTTGATTGATTTTATTGTGTGTGTGTGTGTGTATATATATATATATATATGTATAGTTACTTCTGGTGCTTATGTAAATCGGTGGAAATCGAGGATTGAATCGTTTCGATTGATTTGATTGATACAGGCGGCGAAAGTGAGATGGCCTGAATTGTTTGCTACCGTGGATTCGGCAATGGAAGATTGGATTGTTGATCAGATGCACATAGTAAGTTTTCTCTTCTTCCTTGGACCTTATAATTCTATCGGTTATTGTTTTTAGATTTGGCTCAAAATTAGGTTGTTTTATCCTTGAAATTGTTATGTGTAGTTGTACATTATATAAACGCAGAAAGGGAATTATGTTCAGAAATTGAGGATTAATTGGGTTGTTACTGTTTGTTATTAGTTTAGGAGAATATGTTAGAAGAATCTCATTCTTTTACAAATCTAATATTTCGTACAAACTCTACAAACTAGATTCCATGTAGTTGGGAATATGCGGTATTTATAAAGTGTTGACTCACACAACATATGCGAAACGTTTAAGACCCTTCTTTTACACATAGAAAACAGTCATGAACATTTCATATATGAAACAACACTCTTTAAACAATGCATTTTCATACGTTTTTTTTCATATGTGAAGCAACACATGAAAACCGGTTTGTAAGTTTTGTATGATTTATTGGGTTTGTAACATGATTATACGTGCATGTTAGAACGAAGGATTTTTTAGAAGATTAGGAAAGTTTAGATGCTTAACAAAGTTGATTTTTTTTTGTAAAGTTAAAAAGTTGGATGCTTATGATTGTGATGGAATAAGTTAAAATTTTAAGGTTTTCATGTATGCTTGACTTATTAACTTCAATGTTTAGGCCAGGTATTTGATGTTGCTTCCATGGTCCAATAAGAACTTGCTCCATTTTATTTTGACACATGGAATTGATTTTACCTCTAGCATATTACATTATCATTCTCTTAGCCATAAGATTTGTACCATGAAAGATAATCTTTGGAGGAATTAAAAGAAGAAGATAAGCAGAGATAGCCACTGTGAACGTTTCTTAGGGAAAACTTAAGTTAAAAACTAAAAGGTATTAAGTGGGGCTAAGCATCCGAATATCCTTCTAGCATTCTGCACTTGAACCTTTTATGAGGCCCTAAGTGCTCCCATATAAATTTTGTTGTTTCATTATTTGTAAATGCAGTTGTTTTTTTAGTTATAACAGAGTCCATAATTACACTGCTACACATATAAATTACTGGTTGTTGAAAGCAAACATATGAAAATTGATACTTGCTAGAAAAAAAAAACATTTGTAATTATGTCACATGAGGGAATCTGAAGTCATATCTGGTCTCATTGACTAATCTAATTTTGAACCAAGGTCAAGTTTCTATAAGAAGAATCTAAGGATTTTGGATGGGTGGTTGTTGATTTGCCTTTGATATAGGCCTAGGTCATTGCTTGTTGATTTGGTCCACATCATGGATTATTAACTATTGTTATATGAAGAAGACTAATGTGAATACCCAGAATGCTTTCGATGGTTTTTATTGATAAACAAGATAGCTTTATATAGCCTTACATGTAAACAGATACTTGCTGAAATAAAGGAATTGACTAAAACAAAAAGACCTATTCCTACTCCTGTTTATTCGCAGACTAAAAGACCAAGCAGTCTAAGTGGTTACTCAACATTCCCTCCTTTAAACTAATTGTGGAGCAATTAGTTTACCTCTGATGCTTCATACATTCCAAGCTCCTTCCTCAGCTTCACAAACTGCTCGAGTTTTATTGGTTTGGTCATAATGTCAGCCACCTGTTCATTCGTCTTGCAGTATTTTAACTCCACCAGGCCCTTGTTCACCAAGTCTCGTAAGAAATGAAACTTAACATCGATGTGTCGACTCCTTGCATGAAATACATAGTTCTTTGACAGCTGAATTGCTGAACTATTGTCACAATTGATTGTAATTCCTCCTTGCATGTTGCACTTCAAGTCCCTAAGGACATTCCCAAACCAGATACATTGACTTGCACACGAGGCCGCTGATATGTACTCAGCTTCGGTTGATGAAAGTGACACCACCGGTTGCTTCTTTGAGGACCATGAGACAGCACCACTTCCATACATGAACACATACCCAGATGTACTTTTCCTATCATCGAGATCACCAGCAAAATCACTGTCCGAGTATGCATGAAGAGCAGCTATTGTTGTATTCCTATACCAGATTCCTAGTTCCGTTGTTCCTCTAAGATACCGAAGCACTTTCTTGACTGCATTCCAATGATCCTCAGATGGTGTAGACATGAATCTACTCAACAGACTGACCACAAACATCAAATCTGGTCGAGTCGCTGTTAAATACATGAGACAACCAATAGCTTGTTTGTAAAGAGATGGATCAAATTTCACCTTTCCTTCATCTTTAAGAAGTCTGGTTCCTGGAACAATAGGATTTTTAACTGCATTACTGTTTTCCATTTCAAACCGAGCCAGTATTTCTTGAGCATACTTGCGTTGGCAAATGAAAATTCCCTTCGAGTTCTGAATTACTTCTATTCCCAGGAAATACTTCATGCTGCCCAAATCTGACATGTCAAATTCATTCATCATCGAGTTCTTGAATTCTTCATTCATGGCGTTATCATTCCCTGTGTATATGATATCATCAACATACAAGCTTACTATCAAAATCTTACCACCCTCCTTTGCTTTTGTGAACAAAGTGTGTTCACAAGAGCAACGTTTGAATCCTTCTTGAGTGAAGTATGCCTCTATTCTGCTGTACCAAGCTCTCGGAGCTTGTTTGAGCCCGTACAGCGCCTTATGCAGTCGATAGACCTTCTCTTCTTTTCCTTGTTTCTCAAAACCTAAGGGTTGTTGTACATACACTTTCTCTTTCAAATTTCCTTGGAGAAATGCACTTTTGACATCAAGTTGAAAGACTTCCCATCGGTTTTGGGCCGCGATGCTTAGAATTAATCTAACAGTATCCAAACGAGCTACTGGAGCAAAAACTTCAGTGTAATCAATTCCGTACTGCTGTGAATAGCCCTTGGCCACCAATCGTGCCTTATACTTTTCCACATCTCCTTTTTCGTTCAACTTCGTCTTGAATATCCATTTTACKTTGATGGCCACTGCATTTTGTGGTAAAGAACATAGTGTCCAAGTACCACTTCGTTCTATTGCTTCTATCTCCTTTTCCATTGCTTCTTTCCACTTCTCACTCTTTACGGCTTCTTCGAAAGAAAGTGGATCGTCTTCAATTATCATGGCTGCCTCTTCTTCTTCCGATAATTCTTCCCCAGAAACATAATCTGAGTACCAGTATGGAGCTCTTCGTTCTCTTGTGTTGTGAGGTCTTTGAGTCCTTTCTATGGGAGATTCTGACATGCTGGTCTCAGGTGCTAAAGGCGAGGGGCTGGTTTCTGGTGGTGCTGAAGGCGTATTCCCCTCGGTGTTATGTTCAGCCTCGTCATTTCCCAGCGTAATAGTGTCTGCCTCAGTTCCAGTATCTCCTTCCCATTTCCAGCCTTTGTCTTCTTCAAACACCACATCTCTACTGGTTCGAATTTTTCTAGTTGTTGGGTCAAATAATCTGTAGGCCTTTGATTCTTTACTTACACCAACAAATACATGTAACTGACTTCTGTCATCCATCTTTGTTCTCATTTGACTTGGAACATGCATATGAGCCAAACACCCGAAGACCCGAAAATAGTGTACCTTGGGTTTGCTTCCAGACCATGCCTCGTATGGTGTTAGTTCTTCTAGAGCAGCTGTTGGCGACCTATTGATGATGTGAACACACCAATTTGCTGCTTCGGCCCAAAGTTCCTTTGGCATTTGTTTATCACTCAACATGGATCGCACCATATTCATAATGGTGCGATTCTTTCGTTCTGCAACACCGTTCTGTTGCGGTGTGTATGCTGCCGTTAGTTGTCGATTGATCCCCTCCTTTTCACAAAAATTGTTGAATTCACTCGAGTTGAATTCACCTCCCCTATCTGTTCGTAATGCAAGTATACTTGATCCGATTTCTTTCTCCACAGTAGCCTTGAAAATCTTGAATGTATGGAAAGCTTTTGATTTCTGATTTAAGAGATATATCCAAGTTTTCCTTGTAAAGTCATCGATAAAACTTAAAATATACCTCTTGTTTCCATACGATGTAGGGGTGATTGGGCCGCATATATCAGAGTGGATCAGTTGCAACTTGTGGGTAGACTCCCATGCGCTTTTCTTCGGAATGCTTTCTCGGTGTTGTTTTCCTATCAGACAGCTTGAACATACTTCGTTTGAGGCTTGAATTGTAGGCAACCCTTCTACCATTTCTTTTGCAGATAACGTTTTTAGCCCTTTGTAACTCAAATGTCCATAGCGGCAGTGCCATAGATACGCAACATCATCTGTCTGAGCTTGCAGACACGTCTGTTCCTTCGTCACCACTTCTGCAATTAATGGAAATATCCGGTTCTTGCTCATCTGTGACTGCATAATGATACCCATTGTTGGATGATAAACTTTGCATATTCTTTTATGAATCAGTACTTCTAGCTCCTTCTCTTGTAATTGCCCGATACTCAGTAAATTGCTTTTCAACTCTGGTATGTAGTAAACATTTGAGATGACTAGAAATTTCCCATTAGCCTTCATTCGAACAGTTCCCCTTCCTGCTACAGTGATTCGAGTATCATTCCCAAGCTTCACCGTGTGCTTCACATCGTTTCTTAGTTCGAGCTCTGAAAACCATGCTTGGTTTCCACTCATGTGATTACTGCATCCTGAGTCTAAAAACCATACTTCACCTTGTACATTTTTGCTTTCTTCTTCGTAAGTCATCAACAGATCCTCATTTTTCTCTAGGTAGGCCATTAAGATAACTTCTTCACTATCTTCAAATTCTGCAAAATTAGCCTTCCCTTCCCATTCTGGACATTCATACTGAAAATGCCCAAGTTTCTGACACTTCCAGCATTCTAAAGTTGCTCTGTTCACCATGTGTCTACCTCGTCCTCTACCTCGACCATTCCCAGATCGTCCACGACCTCTTCCACCAGGGCTTCGGCTTTCATTCGCTACCTTCAAGACATGTTCGTMTTCCTTCACAGTCTTGCGAAACTTCTGTTCATGAACGATTAGAGAGCTTTGAAGTTCGTCCACACTCAGGTGATCTATGTCTTTGGCCTCTTCAATAGACACAACAATGTAGTTGAATCTTTCTGTGAGTGTTCGTAATATCTTCTCGACAATTTGTTTGTCTTCTAGAGTCTCACCATTATTACGCATATTACTTGCCACAGTCATAACTCGTCCAAAGTATTCTGCAATCGTCTCTCCTTCCTTCATTTCGAGAACTTCAAATTCCCTTYGAAGTGCCTGTAGCTGCGATCTCTTAACCCTTGCATTTCCTTGGTATCTTATTCTTAATGACTCCCAAAGATCCCTTGAGGTTTCCTTTTGGAGTATTGTTTTAAGAATAGTTTTGTTGATGGCAGCAAACAGATAGTTCTTGACTTTAAGGTCTTTGATCTTCAATTCTGCCCGAGCCTTTTTCTCCGCATCAGTCTCTCTTGTTCCCGTTGGYGGCTCTTGATACCCTGGATCAATGAGATTCCACCACTCCTTGGATCGAAGCAAATTCTCCATCAGCATACTCCAGTGATCGTAGTCTCCATCGAGCTTTGGAATGCTCAACAGATTCTGTCCTTCGCTAGACATCTCACTCTTATCTTCCCTCTCGTTCACTCGTGTATGCTCTCCTCTGTTCACACCAGTCTTCCTGAACTTGGCT